GTAAATGGAACAGATTTAGTTGTACCTACAAGGTTGAGAATAACTGAAATTCAGGAGAAGATTTGAAAATATTTTTTTTTTGGCTAAAGTTAACAGTGTAGTTTGAAAAATACTTTGGGGTATCTTACTTGTGAAGCAATTCCGGCAAAAGCTGTCAATGGCCTCTTGCACAGGAAGAGAAGTGACACAACGTTCAAAGGAGTTTCCAGCAATGGCTCGTTCGAGATCTTCAAGATCCATGCCTGAATTGGGATATGTCATAGTTGTTTAACAAAAAAATTAATACCCTAATCACATGAATGCAATGATCAACACACATAGGTAGACCGATTAAAAATTACACTTTTCGTGATCAGACGAACGAACTCCAATGATCGATAATTAAGAGGAATTGAAGAGAGCAACTGAATAAATTCTTGAGAGAAGATGAACAGATGGAGAGTACGAAGGTTATTGCTAGAGACTGGGTTCTTCATATGGGGGGTTTGGGGATTAGTACGGAGTATACGAGATGGACCGGTTGGGTAGTGGATGGGTAATTAATGGTATCTGATTAATTGTAAATGTGGGTGGGTGGTGTGAAGGGTAGTTATGGAAAATCATGTAAAAAGAATTGCCAAAAAAGAAAACGTAAAGGAGTAAATGGGACGTCCTAAAAAGGAAAGTGTAAAGATTTAAATGAGATGGGAGGAGTACTAAATTTCAGATGGAGATGGGGATGGGGATGGAGATGGGGATGGGGATGAAGATGGAGAGACGCTTTGATATGGACGAACAAAGTGTTTAATATATGAAACAAAACTAGTTGATCCTTTAAGTAATGTTCAAAATATTAATATGAAATATGAGTAGGAATTTATTAATATTCAAGGAAGAATATTATTAAAGAAGATGAATCCTACTATAATTAATATCAAGATGTTAACTAATTGTCATCTTAGCAACACTCTCCAACATTAATATAGAGGAAGAAAATATCATTCTAACTAATGTCGAGATGTTAACTAATTGTCATCTTAGCAACACTCCTCAACATCAATATAGAGATGGTATTAAGGAAAGAACTATTAATTAATATTCAAGGAAAGAAGTTAAGAAAATAACTCACAACTTTAATAATCAACAAGCTTCAAGAGCAACACCAAGAATGGAAGTTTAGCTCCTCATTTGGAGACTAATCATAGCTAGAAAAATATAAAGAAATGCTATTCTAAACTGAGCTAAAGAGTATGGAAGAAAGGATGATTTTTTGTGAAGAACAAGTGTGCTATTTATAGGTGTTTTTCAACACCTTTGGCCGGGTACCCGACCGGGTATAGTACTTACCCGACCGGGTCCGGTCAAAATCAGATAATCCGCCACGTTCTGGTGATCTTCGCACGTCGTTTTGTCCCGGGTCACATCTGACCCGACCGGGTCAAGTAGGGGACCCGACCGGGTCTAGTGACTTTCTTGGCAATTTCGTCTGTTAAATCACACCCGACCGGGTGGGGGTTTCTACCCGGTCGGGTTTGACTCCTGGGCAGTCAAATTTCTTGTTTTCTTCTCTTCAAAGTCTTCCTTTCCGACACCACAAATCCTAACTATACTTTACAACTTATAAATGAGAATTAAAATACGATTACAACTAAAATCACACAAATGTTTACAAACTAAATAAAACGGTAAACAATACACACAAATCAATCATAAAAATATACATTTATGCACTACTAATTAGTGCATATCAGGACGAACCTGGTAGGAGAAAAGGAATGAACCGATTAGAATAGGTTATGGAAAGAAAGGCAACGTGAGATTTGTTCCAAAAATAAAATCAACTTAAAAGACTAATAAGCCCTTAATTCTCTAATCTAATCTGGATAAATTGTACGGTTGTTTCATTAAAATAGATGGTCAAGATTAGTTTGTAGGTTATTAAGTTAAGCATGGTTTGTATTTGATTTCTAATATATGTATATATACATAGATACATACATGCATGCATGTATGTATGTATGTATGTATGTATGTATGTATGTATGTATGTATGTATGTATGTATGTATGTATGTATGTATGTATGTATGTATGTATGCATGTATGTATGTATGGATGCATGTATGTATGCATGCATGCATCCATGCATGTATGTATGCATGCATGCATCCATGCATGTATGTATGCATGCATGCATGCATGTATGTATGCATGCATGCATGCATGCATGTATGTATGTATGGATGCATGTATGTATGCATGTATGTATGGATGTATGTATGTATGTATGTATGTGTGTATGTGTATGTCTGTATGTGTGTATGTATGTGTGTATGTATGTATGTATGTATGTATGTATGTATGTATGTATGTATGTATGTATGTATGTATGTATGTATGTATGTATGTATGTATGTATGTATGTCTGTATGTGTGTATGTATGTATGTATGTATGTATGTATGTATGTATGTATGTATGTATGTATGTATGTATGTATGTATGTATGTATATATTTTGATTTGGCTCAAATTACATTTGAAAATAAATGTAGTTGCATAAGGATTTCCCTAAAGTTACATGTCTATTAGCGTGAGTTACATGTCAACTTTACTGAGCAAGTTGCATTTTACTTGCACGTGATTTACATTTTATATAATACGAGTTACACCGCAATATAATATGAGTTACACAACACAATAAGCCCCTGATATTCAAAGAAAAATTATTTTTATAAAAAAAACATTTTTATAGCCCTGATATTAAAAACAAAAAATATAAACTATTTATGTAAAATAATTAGGCAATTAGACTTCTTTTTTTCCTTTATTTACATTGGAATCAATGTTTTACTTCTTATACTATGTATTTTACAAGTTACATTTCGACTGGATTTAAATTGCATTTATCAGTAACGTGAGTTACATTTGTTTACATGCCAGTTACATCATTCATGCTACTCGGATGAAAAGAAAAAAAAACAGTTACTTTATACTTGTGTAGTAATGTTCACGTGTGTACTGTTCACGCAATATTTTATAATTGTTTAAAACTACGTCAATTTGGACGTGGACTATGGTGCTCACCTCCCATGGTATATGCACTGGTTCCTCATACTATATTACTTTAATCCGTTATGAAGGACTTTGCTAATTTATTGATCAAGTGGTCTAACATACTTTCTTTTTATTCTTTGATTGTGTGTATTTTGTACTAATCGGACCAGGGAGTAATCCGGACAGATGATTGGGTCACGGATCAACCCGGTCAACGACCGGTAAACCCGATCAACACCAATACATATACTTAATTAATTATATAAAAGATTTAATTGATTATTAGAAAAAGTATATTCCTTCATAATTTAATAATGATAATAAAATACTAGTATAAGCAATGTAAAACAACTATTGAATTTAAGTATAATGATTTTAACAAAATTAAAAGTACATTGGGATTTAGATGAATAATAAGAATTTAATATCATCGATTTGTATTTATTAGTATTTTTATTAAAATTTAATTAATTATTGAACTAAAAATTAAAACTTATAAAAATACTTCAAGCTTAGTAGAAAGAAAGCTAAACAACAACAGTCAACCAACCATTCCAGCTCACTGGATGGGAGGTTACCGTGTCCTAACGGAGGTCTCGGGTTTGAATCACGACAGACACATTTAGGGGAGATGAGAGAGGTCTTGCTCCCAATGATTTTTCCTATCTTCATGGAGATTCACAACGGCTTAGAAGGGAGCGGATGGAAATTCAGGTCGCGAGTTCACGTGGTGGGAGGACCCTTCTCGATATAGATGAAAGCAAGCCCTGCATAGTAGGAGGACCCTTCTGGATTCAGTTGAAAGGAAGTCCTGCTGGATTCGTCCTGTGGTACCAGTACCGACAAAGGCTGACTGTGATAATATCCGGATTTGACTGTCTACATATTGTGGAGGGTAGTCAATAGACTCTAGGATTAGAGGAACGCAAACAACGACACCTCGACTATAAAAAAACAACAATAGTCATCAACTATCTTGCGTAGCACATAGGTTGGCAGGTCTACATAGGAAGCAAGCGGCGCATGTTCTACTCTTGATTGGTTACAGAGTTATTTGGTTCGAAATTTCTTTGTTTACTGAGATTTGTTGTTTTAGATTTTTTATAAAAACGATTTTTTTGTTCAATTCAATCCGACTTTATTGTCACCTTTAAACATATAAAATGTTAATACTAATACTCGCTCAATTCCATTTTGTAAGATATTTTTCCTATTCACTTGGTCAACACAATCCCATTTTGAGACTTTGTAAAACTCTTAATGTAGTTTCTGAATATGTAATTTTTTCCCTAAAAATAATTTGAGTACGGGCAGGAATCGTTTTCTTTATAGTCTATCAAACATCGTAAATTGTAAAGTATTTTACAATTCAGAACGGGGGCTGTTATAACTAATCTCTTGTTATTCATGATGCACAATTTACATTGATTTTCTTGTTAATCCTAAATCTTGTATTCTTTTGTGCTCAAATTTGCACTGATTTTCTTGTTAATAGTAACTCTTGTGTTCTTTTGTGCTCATATTATGGTAGCCCACACCCTCTCCTTCTCTCGAATCCCGCTATGCGAGGTGATTTGGTTAATCTTTTTCTGATGACCGGTGAAATTGGGGTTAATCTTATAATTGTCTCCTTATCAACGACTAGTAAAATTGAGAGGTAATCAAGTTTCTTTTCATTAACGATCAAGTTGAGACATGAACGATCAATCTAGAGGTAGAATCTACGCAGTTACCTATTCAAATTGTTTCTATTTGGATCATCTTATTCAAATAAAAACAGATGATCCAACTAATTAAGTCTTTATTCTCAATTTCTCTGAAATATTAAAAAGTGTAATGCTATTGTTTACTCCATAATACTACGTACTACAAGTACAGTACTACAAGTACGTAAAAAACAAAAATGATGTTTATACTCACTCTTATACTAAATTTTATACTCATTTATGTTTGTGATTTTTTTGTGAGTGAATCGATATATTTTGCATAAACAAAACGGTTGACAAGATAAAAAAAATCTTCACGGACATGATATAAAAATGTAGCATATGCAAGGGAAGCAATTTTGCCATGGAATATACAGCCCGCCGCCACTTTAGACTTCGCATGGAAATCGAAGTGGCAAGACTCTGTCCATTCCCTTTCCTGCACTTTTGTCTTCTTTACCCAAAAAACTTGCCTTCGATTTAGGGGTTCTGCTTGTGCTTCTGCAAATGTCTGGTATGTTGTCTAATCTCTCTACCAATTCGCTTCCTTTCGCTCAAAGTCTCTATAGCTTAGAGCAGTAGGAGCGATGATTTTGCGTATTCCATGGAAGAAAGGGAAGACCCGTACCCGTATTTCTCAATTTGTGAAGGACCAATTTCGCCGTAGAAAGAACGGCGCCGCGTCTCCGCTCGTCGTCGAGACCGGGTTCCCCACTTCCCTTGTCGATCTCATCGTTAATCATCACGATAGATTCAAGATGCTGCCGTCTCCTTCACTCCGATCCAAGAAAAAAAATCCACCGCCACCACCGCCTCCTCATCAGCCGCCTTCAGTCGACTATTCCGTTTTCGTCTCTCCGCCCCAATCGCCGCCTCCAACCTCGCCAATTTTACCTGCAGTTCCCGAGCAAGAAATCCATGCTGAGATTCATAAATGTGAATCGAATCCGAATGGAGTGTTACGGGTTTCTCTAAAGGTTTTCTTCATAGGTGTTTTAGCCATAACCACGAAGAAATTCACATTAGGGCTCACTATGTCGGCGTTCTTGCTGTTCTTTCTTGAGTACCTGGTTAAACACCTTCCTAGATTCTTCAAACCATGTTCTGAATCGCGGGCAAGCTTAGGGAAAGAAGATCTTGTTTCTCTGGTGCCGGAAAATCTACTGAAGATTCTTCCCACCGATAAGAGTGATGGAAAGAGTAGCAGCATAGTTCAAGAAATTGAAATTGTTGAAAGGTCCTGTGACTGGAAATTGGAATGTGTAGGAGGAAGACTGGAGGATATTATAGACAAAGATGGAGGGGGCAGATGTGTAAAGTCTCAAAGATGTGTAAAGGCAGCCAAGTTTAAATCCAAAATGAAGATACTCTTACCAAAGAAGTTTAGAAACTTAAGGAAAAAGTTAAAAGATGGTAAAGAAAAGGAGGAAATTGTTTATATAGGGGAGATCGGTTTTGAACCTTGGGGCAATAGTGACATTGTCAAAATGAAAGATGGTTGCGACAACACAAGTGGCTCGCAAGAATTGCTTCACAATTCGGGCGATTTGTGTGATGGTTCATCGCAATTGCTCAATGGTTCAGGCGATTTGCTTGACAGTTCGGAAGAGAGTATGGAAATGGGCAAAGTTAACCGGATAGAAAGGGATAAGAATCCTGGATATATGGTTGTTTTAGTAATTGTGCTTCTTGGTCTTGTGGGAGGTCGGGCTTTTGCACTTATCTGTATCTTGGCATGGTGCTTCTTGTTGAGAGGAAGAGAAGCATTAAGGAGATTGTTGAAGGTGTTCATATTCAGCTCAAATACCTATTTCTCCATGTTCAAAGTTTCAATGTGTTAATTTTCCTCCCACTCTCACATTCTAGAGTTTAGCTGTATTGTTTCTTATGAAATGCCGTGTAAATTTATTCATAGATACATGATTATAATTATTGATGGACTCGGGCCGGGTGGCCCGACCCGGAACCGGCCCGGGACCGGCACTGTTCCGGCCCGGCCCGACCCGGTGGCCCGGTCAGTGACCGGTCCGAGTAGGCCCGGCCCGTGGGTTTTCCGGTCCGGGCTCGGGTCACCCAAAACAAGGCCTGACCCGGCCGGGCCCGGGCCCGGTTCGGGCCAATTTTTTTTTTTTTTTGTTTTTTCAAATTTTTTTAACTTTTCGGGTTGGGCTGGGTATTTTGGGCCATTTGGGGTGGTTTGGGGGTAGGGGGTGGGAGGGGGGTTAATTAGGAAGAGGAAAACCAAAAAAAAAAATATAATGGGCCCGGCCCGACCCGGCCCGGACCCGGTGGTTACCCGGGCCGGTCCCGGGTCCACCATTTCTGACCCGCCGGCCCGCCCGGGCCTAGGCCCGACCCGGACCCGGCCCGGACCCGAGTCCAACCCTAATTATAATGTATAACACTTCTCTTGTGAATCAATTTTTGGATGCGTTATACTATTTCATCTCATAGAAACAATTAACTCAAGTCACTAAAATTTCCAAAATAGTACTCCGTATTATGTCAGGAATTCAGTTGAGACTTGATGTAGATCATTCCCTTGTTAAAGGGTACAAAAAAACCATTTGACCACGTTTTTTTGTACACGTTTTTTTGTACACACTCTTACATATGTCGGTGTTTTGTACACACTCTTACATATGTAGGTGAGAGTCTTTTATGTGTGTGTGAATAGAAAAAATCTAAAGGTACACATTTTGTGTACACATTCTTACACACTTGTGTTTGTGTAGGCGTTTTTTTGTCTGTCCTAGACAAAACGTATTTGACAAATACGTTTTGTCTGGGACAGACAAAAAAATGCATACACATATACGAGTGTGTAAGAGTGTGTACCTCAAATACACCTGATGTGAATATCCTATTCAAAGACAAAACAGAATATTTGTGAAGGGTACACCTCACATACTACAATAGTACAATAATACTCGTGAGGCGTAAAGACAAAGGATGGGATTCACTTGCCCCTAATTTGTCCGTTCTGTTTTGGGTGCTTTCATGATGTGAGTGCATTGGTTTTGGAATCTTGGTTGATTGGTGGGCTAAAATTAATGGTTTTTTCGAGGTTTCAATTTGGTAAAGGTCAAATAGGCCTCTTTATCAGCCTTCAGTCCCTCGACTAAAAAAAGATCCAATTCATACCCCGAATTGTCAAAAAAAGTTCAAATTTCATTTTTTGGTTAAACAGTCGGTAAAAAAGGTCCAATTCTCACCCCTAAACTAATAAAAAGTGTCAAATTGCAATAAATTGAAAATAAAAAATACAAACAATTAAAAAGTTAAAAAAATGATCGATTGGTTACCCGTAAGAAATGAAATTTGAACCATTTTTTGTAGGTTTGGGGTGTGAATTGAACCTTTTTTAATTTAGAGATTGAATTAAGCTTACATGACCAGTACACGAGCCTATTTGACCCTTTAGCCTTCAATTATTTAACTAAAAATATTCACCAAATTACGCATCAATCTAAAATACACCGTAGATTAATGTTCATATGAATTTATGTTACCGGTGGGCGTAGCTCAACTGGTAGCAAAGAAGTGCCACAAGGGTTAGGTCTTGAGTTCGAATCCCGTCAACTGCGATGAGAGGTTACTATGCTAAAAATGCATAGGGCCTCTGCAAGTACCAGGGACAGAGCCTCACTCTCTATCTGTCAGATTGGGATTATAGTCCAATTTAAATCCTCGCAACGTATCGTCCGGTCAGGGTTGAAAGGCCCTCAGGGATGGGGTGTCATCCTTTTTTCCATTTGAATTTATGTTTACATGGATGGACTTTCGAGAATATTTGGTATGAGAAATTACTTGGTAAGACTTGGGTTGTTACTAGATTGCATAAAAAAAATGGGTTGGTTTCCGTCTAAGTATTTATTAGACTAGACCAATCACAACAGACCACATTAGACTTGATCTTGATAACATTTTGATTGAGACTTTTTTCTATAACATAACTCAAGTTATATCTCGAAAGTCCTCCGTGAAATAAGGCAGCGGTTAGGTAGTTTGGTCTATCTTCACTAGAGATGTCAATTCCGACCGATCCGTTGGATACCCGCACTGAACCGGTTTGGTCAAAATGAGGAAAACTGGTTTGACCGGGGAACGGGTACGGGGCGGGGAATACCCGGTTTTTAATTGGATAATGGTGCGTTTATGGTTCTATATTAATATGCCTCGTTATCCGCCCCGAAACCGCCCCGTTCATTAATGATGCGGGTACCCGCACCGTTACCCGATCCGTAACATTATTAATAAATTATAAGTCTTTATATATAAGGATAATAAGTATATATACTAAATTGTGTACACTAAATCGTATATATCATATAAGTATATAAAGAATATTACATCAGATGACCACTTTAAAAACCCTAACATCCCTAACTCAGAGTCTATCAGAAAATACAGATTTACGGCTCAGGGCTCTGTTTCTTAACGACGATGAGAACAACTCTCTCCGATTTTACTAGATGGAACGATGCTAGGCCTGCAGTTCGGCTCTACCACTGGTGACTTCTAATCTCTCTAATTATCAAGGAATCTACCTAGTTTCTTCTTTCTTCTATTTTCGGAATCACTCTTGTCATAGGTGAGTTTTCTTGTGGTTAATACAAAGTGTGTATATTACAGTTTGATGAGTTTGCTCAATGCGTATCATGTGATTAATACAGAGTGTGTATTACAGTTTGGTGAGTTTGTTCGATGCCTAATTTTGTAGTTTTTTACATCATTAAGATTTAGCGAAATTGGATACGGAGTGGGTACGGTGTATACGAAATGGGATGCAAATTGAAAAAGAAATTAGGACTTTGAATATATAATTTACTATGAAGGATGTTTACATTAGGATTAGAAATTGGTTATTTAAGAGCATTTGGGGAAACAGTTACTCGTGGATAAACTGATTCCCCATTGGGGCGGGGAATGATTGAAATAAAATTACCCGAATGGATAATGGGGCAGTTTCGGGCAAACATTTATCCAACAAGGCGGTTTCGGTTTTATGTGCACCCGTCCCCTATCTGCCCCGTTGACATCCCTATTATTCACTCTCTAGAACTTTGTAGAGTCATCAGACATTAGTCACATTATCTTCTTTTTCCCTAAAGTTTTCGACTGTTGTTGAACGATTTCAGAACTTGTGCTAAAAACGGTTGACACCTCAACTAACCAATCTTATCATCCCTACATAGACTTGGTCATAATAAACGTATAAAATGCGCACATGGAATAATTAATACTATCATACTTGATTAATAAATCCCACAATTATAAAGTTAACTCCCATAATTAATTCACATAAATGTAGAAATAATTACTCAAGTATTTGCTCCAACAATCTTTATTAATACTTTAATATACTTTGAACTAATTCTTGATTTTTTGCAAAATGATTCAAGTTTTTAGGATAGATCTACACCTAAACATAATATGTCCATCCAAAATTATCCTTCGTTATAACACAAGTTCTATCGAAGCAAACTCATTCATCACTTTCAAGTTCAGATCCGTAACCGTAACACAGAACAAATTCGTTTATCATCGATGTTTGAGGCCATGTGTATTTCTGAATCGAATGATTGTTGCAAAATGTTTAATTAGTCGAAAAGTTTAAAAGATTGCTATAAAGATTTCTCATACCCTCCTAGTCAACTTGATACTTGACTTCAATAGTTTTTTTCCGAGTTAATGTTAAATTAAAAACTATTTACGAAGTTAGGAACGAATTAAATATATTTACCAAAATACTGCTGAAATCAAACAGGGTAGACTAAAGTCGCCAAACGAAGTGGCGACTTTGAAGTCGCCAAATGGGGTGGCTACTTTCTCACGCATAAGTATCACGCAGGAAGACCAAAACAACAACAAATAATCCTAATAACCTATATTAGTATGGGACCTATGATAGTAAAATCATTCTTTTTCTTTAAACGCGCGTAATTTTTTCGTTTTTGTTCCATTTTTTATAAAAAAACATACTATAATTCATAATTTTTTATCATCTTACATTTGACACCAATGTTAGATATGTATAATTTTAAAAAAGTTGAAGGCTTATAAAAACTGTTGAGGTTAATTCGCCGCAGCCCGGAATTTCAACACCCCTTCCGGGGGGTTTCATGGCTATGGGGTGATAATAAAATATAAACAATGACTTTTACGTGGAAACCCGGAAAGGGAGAAAACCACGAGACTGTTTAGGCTAATGTCCAAGCCCTCTCCTTTTATTAATACTCTTCTCCCCATTACATAATACAATATTGAAGTTCCATTAATGGAGTATAAAGCTAGCTAGGGAGAAGGGGGGAAGAAAAAGGGGATCCTTTTCTATGGCGGCAAGGCTCCTATTTATAGGAGAGAGGGGAGGAGACATTGCACCCTAATGCAGGGGCGGATCCAGAAATGATAAATTGGGTGGGCTAAACAGTAAAAAAAATGATGCTGCACGGTTTTGCTTAGGATTGTTAAGGAATCAAACTTTTTTCGAACTACTCAAATTCAATCTTGATTTCGAATCCAGATTCATAACCCAAGCTTAACAAGCTTTGAACTCGAATACGGGCTAGATTTTGAGTTCGAATAGTTATTCAAGCTGCGTTTGAGCATAGTGATGATTGGTTCGATCTGGACTTGAGCTTATCGTTCACTTATAAACTACTCCCTCCGTCCCACAATAAACTTCACAGTTTGACCTACACACATATTAAGAAAATAAACTTACGATGGGGTAAATTTTACTGTTTTGACACTGTTTGGCACTGTTTTGATGTAGATTAACTTGCCATTTAAGGAAATCAAGAACTTGTTTCTGGGACATCCAAAAAAGGAAAGTGGGAAGTTCATTGCGGGACGGAGGGCGTATATAAGAATGACTTATATCAATTATATATTCACTTATAAACTTTCTT